ATTGAGGAGATGACAATGAGCCATGGAGTCAATTGATTCCTTCAGCACTGCCTGAATAGACATGCTGCTGTGCCTCCCCGGCAGTTGGTTTTAAAATTTGGGTAGAGCAGGAAATAAACGGGAATACAACTGCACGACTGAAGCCCCTTGGATATGCCCTGGGCCCTCTTATGTTCTTATGCAGATACTGTTTAATCTATGCCACTTATTTTTATTTATTTACTGGCAAATTGGCCATCAAGAATGATGGGAGGGGCAGGAGGGGATGGAGCCCCGCATCCAGCCCCGTGCCCTCCCTCCACCCCGCATCACTGCTGCTGGTCCAGACTCATGCAACTCCCATTGGTCCTGGTCTGGACTCCTCCTCAACTCCTTCCCCACCCCTGCTGCTTCAGGTCCAGCCCTATGCAACTCCTGCCCCCCACCACTCTGGGTCTGGCCCCGCTCAACTCCCCCCTCCCTCGGCCACTGCAGGTCTGTCCCCACTCCACCTCCCTACCGCCACTACAGGTCCAGCCCCGCTCTACACCCCCTACCCACTGCTCCAGGTCTGGGCCCGTTCTACCCCTCCCTGGTCCTCTGGGTATGGGCTGACCCTACCACCCCAACCAAGTCTAGCCCCACTCCATCCCCATGCTCCACGTTTGCCTGGCCTTTGCCTGCCTCCCTCCTTCCCTGTCTGCCCACCACCTCCCCCTCTCTGCCAGCTATTCTGGGGGTCTTTGGAGCCAGGCAGTGGGGGGGGAACCAACACTGTGATCCCCCCATACTTTCTCAGGTAGGGAGGTGGGAGGGAGCCCGGCTGCTCAGGCAGCCACCCTAGGTTCAGCCCCACTCCATCGCCCCACCACTCCAGGCCCGGCCCCTCTCTACCCTACCCTCCACCACTTCGGGTCTAGCCCCACTTTACCCCATCCCCAGGTCCGGTCCCACTCTAAACCCTCCCCACCACTCCAGGTCTGGCCCCGCTCTGCAGCCCCCACTGCTGCTCCAGGGCCAGTTCCTCTCTACCCCCACTCCATCGCTCTGGGTCCATCCCTGCTCTACACCCCACCACTGCTCCAGGTCCAGCCTCACTCTACTGACCCCGCTACTACTCTGCGTCTGGCCCCACTCCAACCCCTGCTCCACATCCGCCTGACCTGTGTCTGCCTCCCTCCTTCCCTGCCTGCTGCAACCTTTTCCCTGCTGGCTATTCTGGGGGGGGTGGCAGGGGGGCTCTGCCACCATGAGCTCCCTGTTTGACTCCAGGCAGGGAGGTGAGGGGAAGGCCCGCTGCTCGGGTGGCAGGGGGGCACTGCCACCATGAGCTCCCTGTTTGACTGCAGGCAGGGAGGTGAGGGGAAGGCCCGCTGCTCAGGTGGCTGCTCCAGGTCCCACTCCACCCCGCTGCTCCAAGTCCACCTGGCCTGCAGCCAGGATCTAGTCCTTACGTGCTGCCTACCTGAGTAAACTCTACTGCATTACACGTAAAGGTTCCCCAATCTGTTCTTTATGTTTTGCAAAATTGATTCATGATTTAAAAGAAATTTACCTGGTTTTTTTTCCCCCAGGTTTAGGCTCTGGTCCTCTCATCTCTATGGAGGACTACCAGGATGGAGGAATCCGGATGGTATGTCGATCAGCTGGGTGGTTCCCAGAACCTGAGGTGCTATGGAAAGGTCCCACTGGACAGCATCTATCATCAGTATCTGAAACCAAGTTCTCAACAGAAAATGGCCTGTTTAAAATGGAGAATTCAATTGTTATACAAGAACACTCAAACAAGAACTTGTCGTGCTTGATCAGAAACAACTTGCTCAACCAAGAAAAGGAATCAGCAATTTATGTATCAGGTCAGTTACCATTTAAACATTAAAGTGAGATCATACCACCAGAAGCAAACTGAAATGTAAAGCAAAGAAAAATATGAAAGCATTCTTGTACATGTTTTAGATAATAAAAATAAAGACAGGGAAAATAGAGGGCTCTTTTCTCCAGAGGTCACACTGCATCCTTCTCAGCTACCTGAATTGTTAATCTCCAGTCATGCAGAATTGGAAGTTTCATGTAAATTTGACTTAACTCTTAATTTTCTGAACTTGTATTCTCGAAAAAACCCCAAAGCCAACAAATAACCCCCTCTCAAAATACCATTTCAAAATGTTCCTTTATATTTTAATGGGAGTGTTTTACCCTAAGAGCTGCTTTTGAATTCTTTTCTGGCTGTTAGTGGCAGTAGCTCATGGTACGTTATTTGCTCTGTCAAAACTGAGCTACAGCCTAGACCCAGATTGGTACCATAGTCACATAATTGGGGCTTTAGCTAGAAATCTGACATCTAAATTCCAAAGAGAAATCCAGTTTAATCTTACCTCAGCTGAGGAGAAATATTTGCATTAGATACCTTCATTTTGGTGCAGAGTTCCTTAAGTATCCCTGCTGCACTTCTGGGAATTTCAAGAAGCAATCCAGTTTGACACCTAAGGAACTTAACTTCTGCCTTGTTGCCATCTAAATCACAGCTGGAGAAGCATCTATATTCCTCCTAAATTCCACAAGGATCCAACCTGCTAAGAGTCCTCAGGACATGGCTGATTAATACTGACTGTGTCACGTTCAGTTAAGGAATGTGCGAATATCTGCACTTCTGGTGCATTCATGTTGTAGCTGGAGCACTTACCCAGGAAGTAGAAGACCTGGTTTACAGGACTTTCTCTGACTGAAGGGATTCAAAACCAGATCTCCCTAAGAGCGTGCCTGAACCATAAGATTACAGGCAAAGCACCCCCCTTCACCAGTGCCCCTGCTACTGAACAATGGTATGGCATGGACAAAGACCCTCCTCCAACAAAGCCCCCCACTGCCTGGCTGCAGTATGGCATGGGCAAAGCCCTCACTGCCAAATGCCACCAAAGCCACAGCTCCACAGTCCAGATCCAAAGGCTCTGTGAGCTGTAGGTTGCTGAACCCTGCTTTAGAGGAGGGTATACATCATACCTATGGTCCACTCTGCAGTCCAGAACATGAGTCCATGGGCCAGAAAGAGCAAGCGAGTACAGACAACTGGCATGGAGTGCCCAATATACTCTAAATTCATACTGGGCATGTCTACACCTTCATTAATGCACCATTGTTACTGCACATTAAGTTTAATACCTGTAATAACAGGTACTAACTCAATACGCAGTGACTGGTGCACAGTAGCACCAGAGTATGGTTTTTAGTGCCACTAATGCACAGTAGACTCATTCTATTGCATATTTGTGCTGTAGTACGGTTTTTGCCATGGCACACGAATGCACAGTAAAAGTAGTCTACTGTGCATTTAGCATCTCATGTAAATGCACCCACTGAGGGGCAGGCAAATCCTATTTTACCTCTTAGGTTTCAAAATGTGATCCAGTTTCACCTTATCTGAGACCCTGAAAATTCATTATTGAATATGTTTTTGCAACATGCTGTCATGTCTGGCTTAAGTCTGAGTCACAGAAAAGCCATGAAGAGTTGTTTTATAAAGTTTTGTAATAACAGTTTTTCAGCACTTTGAACAGAGTAGAATTCAATCACATTAGGTCCCTAGTAGTGGCTCACGAGTGTGGCTCAGCAATATGGACGCTGCCCTCAAAGAAAGAATGGGCCCTGTGTTCTCACCCTTCTACTTTGCATTTAATTTTTGCATTGGACAAAACAGATGAACAGCTTTAGGATAGTTTCTGCTCCATTTGGAGCATGGACCAAGGCCAGAACCTAAAGCCCCTCTCTTCCAAAAAATATCTTTGGAGCATGGGTGATGGGAATCCTTAACAGTATGTAAATGTGCATCTAAGAAGGAACAAGGAAGAGGTAGGGGTCCAGGCCAAAATCTAGGGTCCTCTCCTTTCCAGACCAGGAGCCGTCTCATGAGCCAAATTCTTGTTGTCTCTTTCTTTTCTGCCTGGTCCTATCTTTCTACCTTCTCTGTGCAGTGAGCCAGCTTCAAAAAGGAATCCTGTAGAGTTTATTAGGCAATGTCCAGGACATGACATGGTAGTTAGAGCACTTTCCTACAAAGCAGAAAATATAGGTCCAAATACTTCTGAATCGGGGGGGGCGGGGGAAGAAGGAGACTATCTTCACTATCACCAGGCAAGCACCCAAACAATTAAGCTTTTGGGATAAATATGAGAGGAGATCTCTGCCACTCCTTCCATCTCCTCCACTACCACAGAGCCTCTAGTCTAGTGGCACACTTCCTTGGTGTCAAGCACATAGTGAAGTGATTTTGTTCCTCTCAAAGCCTACATCTAGTCTATCATACCAGAGTGAAACCCATTGAATACACTCAGAAGTGCAAGACAAGCCTAGCCATCCTGAGCAAAAGAGAAGCCAAACTCTCATAAGTGCCAAAAATTTTTCCTGCATGACCACACTGCATCAGTTAGTCAGTTTTTAAAATTGGTTTCTAATCTTTTGTATCATATTAAAGCATCCCTACTGCTGCTCCTCTCTCAGCCTCATCCTGCTTAGGACCATTTATGTATTTCTATGAGTAATTGCAAAGTAAGACAAGTCCCAGGCATGTTGTTTTTCAGATCCCTTTTTCCCACGACTGAATCCCTGGATGGTGGCACTGGCTGTGCTCCTCGTTGGTCTGTTCATTCTCCTTGTCTTGACCTTGTATCTCTTCAAACTAAAAAGTAAGTATCAAAGGCAGGGAGGACATGGGGGTAGAATACAGCACACCTAGCACTAGACTGTCTTCTCATAAATGAGGTTTTTAGCTCAGATCAATCAAGAAGAAACATGTAGCTACATGGGCCCATAAGCAGCCCAGGGGAGGAAATTATACTAAAGGCATGTCTACATTATCTCAGCATAGGCTAGGATTATTCTGGGCATGTGCCGGAAATCTCACCCAGGAAGACAACTTTGGTGGATTTTGCGTCCTGACCACAAAAATAAAAAGATCAAGTTTTCTCTTTATCTTATATATGGCAAATCTGTATTCGATTAGATCATCAGGGCATGTGTGTGTACGTGTGTATTTTAGAACACGTATTTTAAAGTTAGTGGGGAGAAAAGCTCCATACAAGAAAAAACAAAATATATAAGCAGCCCTGTGAGGATCAGCTTTATGCCATTGATTTACTTGTCAGGTGAGGGGAACTCACTCATTTGTGTCCATCAGAACTGAGGAGGGAATAGCTGAACAGGCGGGTGGGAAGTGCACAGAGACCAGCAGTGAATGCAAAGAGAGCTTATTGGTGTATGCCCAAGAATGAAGGTCCAGTAATGAGCCATGTCACAGCATGGTGCGTCCTGAATCTTGTGGTGAGTCAGTGCAAACATGCCTTGAGTTTCACATTTGCAGAGTAGAAATTTGTCCCTGCCTTTTATGGGGCACAGATTATTTCTATCTCACTGCTGACTCTGTTAGGCAGAATAAGGAGAGGGGTGGAAGAGACACAATCAAACCTCTCCTCTCAGTTTTATGTTTCACAGTTCTCATGTGATAAATGTCGACACAGCTAAGTAATGTGGTTGAACCCAGCAGAGCAGGGGTGCACAAGTCAGACTTTATTGAGGGTCACCTGTAAGGTGTACTTCCCAGTGGAGGCCTGCCATTAGTGTTATCCACCCTGTTTGGAAGTAAGCCCTCAGCACTTTTGCAAGCAGGAAACTGAGCTGCACATGCAGGCATGTTCACAGATTACTGAATCGTTGCACAGGAAGTCCACAGGCCTCCCTGTTTTTTTTTTAAATTTCAAATGCTTTTTCATTTAAAAATGATTTAATAAAGATTTATAGCAGGCTGCTGGGATTGAGCTGGAGGGCTATATGTGTACCGTGGTCATTATGCTGTACATCCCTGTCCTAGGGCTAGAATTCAATGTTCCTATGTAGAGGATGTGCAATAGTTTTCAGATGTTCCTACGTAGAGGATGTGCAATAGTTTTCAGATTAAGGCCTGCATCCTGGCTCACTGAGGATCTCATAAGGTGTTCTATGCCCATAGGTTGCAAGGAGAATTTTCTCCCAAGCCCCTCATTAGTTTCCCTTCCCCTAGCCTGGATTAAGGGGTTTTGTGATTGAAAATCTACATAGTGGGAGAGGTGAGATTCAGCCTATCCTATGAGAGAAATAAATATTTAATGTATCTTTCCAATTCTGTGTTGTTTAGCGGGCCTGCAACAAGAACTTGGTGAGTTCCTCCCCCCCCCACCTTCTTTATCTAATGTAACTTTTTTCTATGCTATTAAATCTATCAGGGTCGGGGTCGGGGGGTATCCTGCTGCTCATCACTGCACTATATAAACATCTTGCATATATAAAAAATATTTCTATAGGGCTCTATGGTTTCTTTGGCTTTTCTCCTTCTAGGGGCAAAACTTCTGCTTGTGGTGGGGTTTCTTCCTGTCTCTCCTTTTGAGTTGAAGTCTATCAGAGCTATGAGTTTCCTTCTCGTTGTTCTGAAAATTTGTTCTTGGGGGGGAAAAAATGATTTTTCAACCAATTCCAAAGGCTGATGAGACTCTGGATTCACCCGATCTGCTGTACAAATGTATTCCACAGCCACGTCTTCTTGACCAAAGTGACTTTGTCTACAGCTCTTCTACACATTTTCCTGGGCTTTGTGATCTTTGTTCATAGATCAACAATTGGTCACTAATGTAATTGTGGCTTGTTTCTTCGGCTGGTGTGAATATTAAGATTGAGGAATTGAAAGACAACTGGAAATCAGTGGAATGACCCAAACAAGCAATTACTATCCTCCTAATATCCCAAGCCTTGGAGAAGGCAAGGAGACACACTTTGTACCAGTTGGAATTTTCAAATTCTTCTTCAGATAAAGTGAATCTCAGTAATCCAACATGGAAGTGACAGATGTGGAGATCACGGAGAGATGGCCTCAACTGGGAGCAAAGGGTAGAATTCCCTAGTGCCCTGGTGTCCTTGAGCATTGATGTTATATGGTCACTGACACTTACTGAGGGGACATACACTCTGATGTCTTCCCTTTTTGATGAATGGGGCTGTCCACTTTCAGTGGCATGCAAGGACAGTGTCTTTGTTTATACCTCAACATGTTGCCCCACTTCTGACCAGTGCCACTTTGGTCTTGCCTAGATTCTTGGCTAGCTGCTCTTTATCAATGGTCCTTTCATTCCTAAATTAGCTAGGATGTGTTCTCATCCCTGTCTCTCTGTTTTTGTTTCAGTGTGGAGAAACCATGTAATCTGCCCAGGTAAGAAAAGCTCATAATGAATTAATATTTAAAGGCCACCTTTCCTAAGAATGCCTGACCCTTTTTCTTATAAAGTCAGACTGCTGCATAAACCAATGGTTTTGCTTAGAGATGACTGTTTACTACATTGAAAAGACTCATTAGTGGCTATGGCCAGAATTATTAGTTTGAGGACCTAAACCTTTCCTCTTGTTGCACTGGGACCTCAAAGAGTTCTCAAAGCAATAGTGTAACTGGCCTTGGTAGGCTACAGAGCCAGGGATGGCAAAGTGGGTAAAGGGCTGGGAGGGGGCTAGGGGGGAGGGGGGTTCTTTTTATTCCACTTCTGCAAATTGCTCAGCCACCAAAAAGGATGCACATACTGCCCACCTGTTGAGTGCTTACGTGATTTTGAAACATTGACCCAATACTGGGAAGTTAATCTTCCTTCTCCACTTTTGTTTCATGAAAGCAACCCCCAAGTCCTGGCATACCTGCAACTGTGGAAGCCACCTTTCAAATCACTGCCCATGTTTCCAATTCTATGGAGAAAAAAAAATCCCTTCCTCCACCCCCATTCAAAATTCCCTCCATGGACCCAGTTCTACTGCCTTTGAACCCAGTGAGATATTTGTCATTAATTTGCAAGACATCAGAAGCAAGTCCTTGACAGGTTTATACTGTTTCATAAATAGGGAAAGGGAAACTTAGAATCAACAACTACATAAGTGATAGAAGTCCTGACAAATACCAAGAACTCTATAAAATTGTGACTCCCAGCATGGAAATGCTCACATCATATCTGCAGGGGTATAGGTTGTAGCCATGTTGGTCTAAGGACATAGGCAGACAAGGTTCCTTGGGTGAATCTGATATCTTTTATTAGACCAACCCAAATACATCATATCTGTGTATTATTGGGGATTTATTTATTCTCTGCTGATGTCATAGAACTATTTTTTTTCCCTTATGATATGTTTAATACAACACTGAGCATGGCTGATATTATTTGTTTGAATGAATTCTCATGTCTGATCCTGTGGTTGATTTCAGGGCTGGGAAAAACTGAGCTGCCTGTAGAAAAAGGTATGAATTTCATCTCAGGAACAGCATCTTGCTCGGATTTGCTATAAGTGGTAGTGGGAAGAGTCGTCAATGTTTAGAGGAGAGCTCACCACATCCTGCATTTCATGAAATGAGCATGATGGGACCTCACATACAGCCATAGATCCAGACATCTCCTCTGCCTGCCTAACCACTGGCTCTTGTAGAGCGTTCTGAGATCACACTACACTAGTTCAGCCACACTGCCAACAAAGTGTCCTAATCACCATCACAGGCCAAGCCCTGATCTTTTGTAGCCCAGCAGGTACCCCTAGCTGCCATTTATATCTCCTTCAGTCCTCTGAAGTGGAGAAGTTAAAGGACCAGAAAAATGCAAGTTTGGGCAAGAGTGAGAATGGACTGAAGTATAGTCAGGTCAAAAGGGAGTAGGAGGCCTCAGGTAAACAGGCCTGGTATAGAGGGATCAGGAGACATAGGCTGGAAGAGACTGAGTTTTGTGAGGGTGATGGGGACAAAGGAGTGATCAGGTAAGATTCTATTTTTAGGTAAAATACCTCTTTCTTCTATCCTACCCCACTGTGCACCCCACATCTCCTTCCTCCAGTCCCCCCTTCATATCAGCCCTCCTCCAGTCACAGGCAAGGGGAGCAAATTCCTCACCATGTACAGATTCAAGCCTGGAGCTAGAGGAGGAGGGGAACTAGGATGGTCACAGCAATTTCTGGGGCTTATTTTCTCTTCTACCCAACCACCATGAAGTGGTCTCTCTCAAAACACATCTCCCTTGTCTTGCTCAGCTGTCTTCTGCTTTCTGTCAGTGACTTTCTTCCTTTTGCTACACACATATATGCATTTTATCCCTTCCCATGTGTGTATATATTTTGCTCGTGCCCCTTTGCCATGGACTTAGGTATTACCAACTGCAGGGTGGCCAAACCATGTCCATGTTCTCTCCATTGTACATTGCCCTCTGCAACATTATGATTGGAAGTCCTCTCCCTAAAGACAGAGAGGTGCGGGGAGGAAGAATGCAGAGAGGAGTGAGTCTCCCCTACACTTAGCTGAAATCTCAAAGCTAATCCCCATTTCTCAGAGCCAGGTAAATCCTGGAGGAAGGAGATTGTCTGATTCATGCTCCAGCTGGGGCCAATTCTGTCACTGAGAAGATCAAATGCTTCTCCAGCAAAATGATTTTTTCTCTCTCTCTCTCTCTCCCTCCCTTCCCTTGAAGTGAATGTGGTGCTGAATCCAGACACAGCTCACCCCCGACTCATTGTTTCTGAGGATAAGAGAAGTGTGAAGTGGGCACTCACACAGCAGATGTCATGCAAGAAGCCTGAACAATTTGAGACACGTTTTTGTGTGCTGGGGGAGGAGGGGTTCACCTCAGGGAGACACTGCTGGGAGGTGCATGTCGGGAATGGGATATTCTGGGCCGTGGGGGTTGCCAAAGAGCCTGTGAAGAAACAGGAAGTGCTTAATATGAACCCTGATGATGGGATCTGGGCTGTGCAGCGATGGTGGGGTGAGTATTGGGCTCTCACCTCCCCCCGCCGGACTCTTCTCCTCGTCAACCAGATTCCCAAGAGGGTCGGGGTGTATCTGGATTGTGATAGTAGCCGGGTTGTATTTTTTGATGCTGATACCGAGGCCATAATCTTTTCCTTTCCACCAGCTACATTTTCTGGGGAGAAAATGTACCCCTGGTTCTGGGTAGGTGTTTTATGCGAGCTCAAAATGTGCCATTGACCAATGGGTAGAGAATTCCCCATAAATTGATCTCTTTAGCCTCAGTCATCCTTGCCTCCTGACTTCAGAAGTCGGGGAATTAAAACACTTCTGACTTTCTACAGGCTTTCTGTTGTCTCATCCAGTGGTTCTCAACCTTTTTTGTACCAGGACCCATTCGTAAATATTGATGGCCAGTGCTGCTCAATCCCAACCTGCTGTCCCCTGCTCCCAGGCCCCAGCCCAGCATGTGGGCAGGGGGTGGGGCAGGGGGGGGTCCCAAGCAGCCCCTTGCACGCCGGTTTCCCACATTTTTCTCCTCTAAAGGAGAATCCATTTTTAAAATAGTTTGATCCATTTTAAAGTTTGTTCACAACCTTTTCATATATTCTTGTGATCCACCCACTTTTGGGTTGCAACCCATGGGTTGAGAAATGCTGATCTAGTCTCTATGAACTTACAGAGACCGTGGGTTTCTGGGCTCTCAAACCATAGAGAATATGGAGGGTTTAAGATTCAGAGTCAACTGTTAGTGTACTGGTCTCATCCTCCATGACTGTGGAAGCCTGTAGGATTAATCAGTTCATCAGTGACAACCTTCTTAAGAGGGCTAGTGCTGCAAGAGACAAATATTCTCCACTTGTTTTTGTCTGTTGTCAACCTTGCCACTGTATATAAATGTAATCCAGGTCCTTTTTCTAAGCGTTCATGATGTCTCTTTGTTAGAAGACACGTCTTTCTCTACTTTGGCACACAACCTTCTATTATATCCTTCTGCTAACCTCCATATCAGTGCTTTTAATAAACTTCCATTTGTTAATTATCCAGTTAATAATTTTGTTAGTTATCTGCCTACCCATCCATATCACATTCAATTTTTTTTCCATTGAACAAGCTTTGAACAGTCTATGTCTTACTTTACATATGTATATATTGTCTTCCATTAAGATTGCACCTAAATAGATAAAACTTGAGACTTGTAAATTCTGATTCTTTCTCCAGTTGTGATTAGCAGTTTAATCTTTGGAAAATGAATACAAGGTGATTCTTAACCTGCAGTGACTAATTCTTGCACTTGGTTTTTGAGCTAGAATATTGGTCATTAAAAAAAAAGTTGTCTGTGTACCTCGTATTACTAAACCATATACCTCCAATTCTCAGATTCCCTTCTGATCCCGGTAGTGCCTCGTACATAATCATTTGTGCATAGATATTAAAGGGTGAGAAAGACAGGATGCAGATTTAAACCCGTTCTGATATCAATCCAACATTCCTGACAAGGACTTTCTCAGTTTGTGCTGTATGTCAATTGGATGTAGTGGGAAACCCACAGCAAGCATGCACAGCCACAGCTTTGTATGCCCCACTGAATCAAAAGCTTTATAAAAGCTGACAAAACAGAAGGAAAATGGCTTGTCCTAACTCTATTGTGGACTTTTCTATCACAGTTCTCAAATTTGTCACTTGGTTTATTGCCCTTCTGCCCTGTCGAAATACTGCTTGCAATACTGTTACAATCTCTCTTCCTAATTTACTGTGTATTCTCGCCAGAACAACACTTAACAATATTTTGCTTGCATGAGATACACCTGAAATCATGCTATTATTTGAGAATTCCTTTCAATCATCTTTTCTCAGTATAGGTACCTAAACACTGTTCTTTCACTGTCTTGGCTATTTTTCATTTTCCCAAGATTTGTAGCAAATACCATGTTTCTTACCTAATTTGGAATGTCTGCTTTTTCAAGGAGTTTTACTGGAACTCGATCAGGGTCAGCGGTTTTCCTGACTTGGTCTACTCTATTTGTCAGGTCTACTTTAGACATAAATGGACACACAATCTTATACTTTATGCATAATCTTTCAAAGTATATTTGATTGTGTCAGCATCATCACATCGCTCTTTGAAATATTACCTCCATCTTTCTACCTATTTGCCAAGAATATAGCTTGGATGGCATGAAGAATGGTAGCAAAGTGGAGAAGCTTCAAGTCAGAAAACAGGGGACTGGTAAATGCTATTGGAACAGATGGTGACATTCACTGTTGAGTGCATCCATTTAAAGCTTTAAGCCACGAAAAGTGGAGCCATTCTACTCCATTCATAAGTGATTTTTTGCTAGCAATTGCATATTATGATGCTTGTGCCAAATAAAGCTATTTTTCATAAATAATGATATATTCTGTTGGGTGATTATTTTTTTCATCTTGCTATTTTACTTCCCTGTTCAAGAAATTTGATTCTTCATCAAGAAAAATAGATTCCCTTCAATGGTAAAAAGTCTATGTACCAATTTGGTAGAGCTGTGGGCACTGGTGACAGATATATTGCCAGTGCATATAACCCAGAAAGCATATAGGTGAAATACTGGACAATCAGGAAACTGTTCAGTTAAGATCCTGCCCTTGTAAGAACTATCATAGCAAGAGGTGCCAACATCATGCTTATTCTGAGTCACAACCATAGAAGTACCAAGGATGCAGTAACTGCAGCAGGAGAATCACTGAAGCCCATTCTGTGTGTTAAGGGACAAGCTTCTAGTCTTTTCTGGGCAATCAGACATTTTCTGAGATAGCTTTAAGAAGAGAAGCTGTACAAAAAGATGGATACATGTCGGCTCATCTTTCAAGGTGATGACTTCCTCCAAAATCCTCTGGATCCTCCAAAAATATATATACAGATGAAACGCAAGGCAACCTGGTCCCATTTCACCTTATAGAGGGTGGGGGCCACAATACTCATATGCACCAAGCTGAGAGGAGGTAACAGAAAGAGTCTGGGTGAACTACACACAATGTTGTGCCCCTCCATGACTTGAAAAAGATCTGGCAGTGAGGGGGACTGTGCTTAATGGGCACTACCTTATGTCTTATTCAAATGGGTTACACTAGCCTACCTAACAATGCAGGTCATGTGTTTTATTCATATTCGGTGTTGGCTGCATGTAATCAACTTTGTGGTTGGTGTCTATTGCTGAGCATTTGCTGCTTTTAGCAGCATTTTGATGGTAGACAATGTATTTAGAGAAATTTCCTTGTATGTAATTATAGGATGAGGGGTTTTTTTTCCCCATACTAACTGGGGGGAAAAAAACTTGTCTTGGAATTGAGTACATATGGTAAATTGAATATAGATTAGCAAGTGGAGTGGGGATTCTTGCCTACTTTCTATTTGTGAATTTGTAAAATTGCACCATTCTAATATAATAAAAGCCTTAGTCTGTTAGGGCTGTGTGAAGCTTCGGTCGCTGATTCGATTTGGAGGAGATTCAACACGATTTGGTGGCCAAATCCCCAAATTCGAATCAAATCAGGAGACCCATTAATCCCTCTGAATTGAATTGGAAGCCTCTGATTTGATTTGGAGACATTCGATGATTCAGCCATAGACACAGCTTTATATATTTTTCTACGTACCTCAAGGTACCAGGCGTGGCTCATGAACGCTGAGATGGTGGGGCAGATGGAGTGTCCCTTGGTAGTGGACCCAAAAGTGGACTTCCAGTCTACTTCCAGGTCTGCTGCAGAATGTGCAGGAGACTCCGCCACCCCCCAGCTCGATGACTGGTGCCTCCTGGGTCTGGGGAGGTGGGGGGCACCCAGGGTACCCCCATGGCCAATCACAGAGATGGGGAGGGTAGGTGGGTCCCCCATGCACTTGGTGGCGGACCTGCAAGTTCTTCCAGTCCACTTCAGATCCACCGCCAAGCGCACAGAGGACCCCCCCGCACTCCCGTGGGATGCTCCATCCACCCCAGCATCTCAATATTCACGAGCCATGCCTGGTACCTCCAGGTATATATAAAAAAAACATATAAATCTGTGTCTATGGCTGAATGGCTGATTTGCCAAATCAAAATCAAAACTTCAGATTCGGCTGAATCGAATTGGGACAGTGATCCAAATCAGCGAATTGAATCACTCTCCCCTGAATTGGGCCAAATCCGAATTGAATGCTGCCTGCTTCACACACCCCTATAGTCTGTCTGTCTGCCTGTCCGTAACCCTCTGGGCCAACCATGTATGCGCCACGAAGAGGGCACGTGGCAATTGGCTGGCTTGGGTGGGCGCAGGCACAACTTTGAGCTACTGCTCAGGGGAGGAGGTGGCAGCGGTTGGGGTCAAGGAACCACCACACCCACCTCCCCAACAAAAGCCAGCAGGAAGGGAGGGGAAGGGTCACTGTGGTGACATCTCCCTGCCACCATAGGCAGATTAATGAATGGGCCCTGGGATCCTCACCAGCAGGGAAGGGAAAGCTGCAGTTTTAAACTCAGTACCCATTTTTGGTGCCAGGTTTAAAACTGTGCCTTTCACATTTGCTTCCCTGGGACCTGGAGGGAGGACAGGGATGGTGTCTGGCTGGGAGAGCTGCCCTGTGCTGCACCTGGGGGAAGGGAACAAGCCAGGCTGAGAGCCATGCTCCACCTGGTGGGGGCGGGACTTTTAGGGTTGGGTCGGCTGGGCCAGGAGCACTGCATTGCGCTGCACTTTTGCAGGTGGTGCCACCGGGAGGGCCTTGGGGGCTACAGCCCCACCCCCAAATTCATGTTAGCCCCCCTGCAGCTGATCTGCCCCTCTCAGTGCCTCCACCTGGCTGCAGAGACACAGCTCAGTGCTCCCCACCTGGCCTGCCCAGCCCTCTGCATCTGCCTGGCTGCACAGGACAGCCAGGCAGCTCCCTACACATAAGTGTAACAGGGGCCGGGCAGGGAAAATCTGAGCTGCTGGTGGCTTGCAACAGGTGGGGAGGCAAGGGCTGTGTTCATGTGATCAGGAGTTGGGAAGGGGGAGTCCTGTGAAAGGAAAGTGTGTGTGGCTGGGTGTGCAGCTGGCTGTGCGCATGTGGGGCTGTGTGCACAGGGCTACTTGTGTGGCTGTGCGTGCATGTGGCTGTGTGGGGCTCCATGGTTGTGTGGGGCTGTGTGTGTATGTGGGGCTGCACGTGCATGCGTGTGGCTATGCATGTATGCATGCATGTGGCTGCACATGCATGTGGCTGTATGTAGGGATGCACGTGCATGTGCAGAGTTGCATGTGCGTGTGTGGGGCTATGCATGTATGGAGCTGTGCACGCATGGGGGCTGCATGTGCACGTGTGTGACTGTGCATGCATGTGACTCGGTGTGCATGCATGTGGCTGTGTGTCTGTAGGGCTGCACGTGCAAGTGCAGGGCTGCATGTGCAGGGGTTTATGCATGTGTGCAGCTGTGCGTGTGCATGTGGGGGCTGTGTGGGGGGCTGTTGCTGTGCATGTCCATGGCTG